TGGCAGTGGTAGCGGGTGCTGAGGGAGCTCTGGCCATGGTTTCTGACTGAGGTGTCGGTAACAGTGAGAGGAAAAGCTGCTTGGGTGCTGGCTTGACAGCTCTGCAACCCCGCATGCGCCGGGGGCAGGTCCCTGAGGGCAGAGGCCATGGTCCAGAGTGATTCTCAGGCTGGGGACTGCAGCAGAGGGACCAAGACCCTCTGTGAGGCACACCAAGCTTGGGGATTTGCACAAGTCGTGGTTGCTGGTCACTGGAGCCCTGGGGCTGAGCTGGAGTCTGCATCCCCTGGGGAACAGCCTCTGGACTACTGAGGAAGCGGTGAGCTCCACTGGTCCATGCATCAGGGAAGTGGGTGACATCGTATTGCTTGAGTTGGAGGCAAGAGAGTGCTTCTGGCTGCATTTATTCTTGACAGTGCTCCTACCACCTGCCCTAACCCAGCCAGTGCCCCCTGGCACACCTGGGAGAAGGAGGGCTCCGTGTCCCACTTGCCAGACCCACACTTCCCGCTGTCCTGCTGCATTGTTGTCAGGGTACCTGGAAGCTCCCTGCTCTTCTTGGGTTGCCCAAATGAGGGCTCTTACCCTCCCCAGGATCACTGGCCACTGCACGTCCACACACAGATGAGTACCATGGTGCCTTGGGCAGCTCTGGAGGGAATTGTCCCCATTGCTGTGGAAGTGGCATGACTTCTGGTGGCTTGCTGCCATCCCACAGCCCTCCAGGCTTGTCCTGTGGCCTCTGGCTGTGGGAGATGCCCCCAGACGTGGGAGGTCTGGCTCTGGCACCATGCTCTGTGTTGCTATGGGTTGGGAAAGGCCATTGACCCAACTCCTTGTCCCTTCCCCCAGTGCGCTGGCTTTTACTGCTGTTGACTCACTTCAAACCTGTTTTCTTTCCCCAAGTCCAAGGGTCTGGGTGTCCCAGGCAGCCGGAAGATGCCGCCTGCTTAGGGGGGTGGGTAGTGCTGCTCTCTGCCCGCCTTTGCTTTATCGTTTCATCTTCCTCAAGAATTCCAGTGTGTTTGCTCTCGCTGGTCCCACTCGGAGGTGCTGAGATAAGGCTGGAGGCAGAGCCCGCCTCACCTCTCCCCAGCAGCCTGGCCCAGGAATGTCCCAGGCCCCCTGCCCCCATGGATTCCCAACCCCAAGCCTCTCCCTACCCCAGACATCACCCCTTGCAGCCACTGTTGGCCCAACTGGCATGAAGACCATCCCTGCAGTGGTGAGGAACTGCTCATGGAGGCCTTGGGATAAGGTTCTTGGCTTCCTTTAGGAGAAACCTCACCTAGGGGGAGATGCTAGGGGGACCATTCTTCTCCCGGCCAGGGTCTGGACATGGGGATAGCTGTGGCCCAGCACACAACCATCCATCCACAACCCCTCTGCTGAGACTGTCACACTTGAGTGCCCTGTATACCTCCCCTGAGATGACCCTGGGGTCCCTGCTGACTGTTCCTCATCTCGGAGCTGTACCCTTCCTTCCAGACCTGCTGCCTTCCCCAAAGGGGTTTGGCTTCCCCCACAGAACATGGTCCTGTCCCCAGTGTGGGCATGAGAAGGGAGATGCCAGTACTGGTCAGCAGGGAGAACATCTCTACTCAGCCCAATCCAACATCCTAGGGTCTCCATCACGACATGCATGGGACAGCGCAGAGCCACCCAGCTCAGCAAGGTGGCACGGGGCCCCATCCTGCATGTGGCCTCGGGGTGCCCAGTCACCTGTGCAACTACAGGGACAAGCTGTGCCCCTCCTCACACACTGTCACTGCCTTCCCCCCCAAACCCTGCTATATGCCTGTCACATGAGTTTCAGCCTCCCAGCTGGGCACTAGAACAGCACTGGGGCTGGTGAGCCATGGCCAGGGTTCAGTGCCACATGGCTGAGCTTGGACATCCCACTCCAGCCTGGGCCCCACAGGACCTGTGGGCCATAGTGGCATTTCCACGTCTTTGTTGTCACCTTATGAGACCTTGTGTTCAGCCCCAGGCAGGAGGGGGACCATGCCATGCACGCAGGCATGGCCACCCTGGTCCCCAAGGATGCTGTAGCCCCTCTGAGCTGTGCATGGGGAGGAGGTGGGCTCTCTGCAGGCCCCAGCAAGCACAGAGCCTGCAGACAGCCCATGCCCATGGGCTTCTTGGTCCCTGCCTACCTGTCTGTGTGGGCAGCAGAGCCACTGGGCAGGCAGTGCCCATCCCTACCTGCTCCCTGCCTCCTGTGCCTGCTCCATGCCCATCCCCACCTGCTTGCCCTTGCCCATCACTGCCTGGTCCCTACTGATAGTTGCCTGTTCCCTGCCTATTCATGCCAGCTCCTTGCCCATTGCTGCCCTGCCTGTCCGTGCCTACTCCCCACCCGTAAGTACCTGCTCCCTCTCCGACCCTCCCTGCCCATCCCTGCCTGCTCCCTGTCCATTGGTACCTGCATCCTGCCCATCGCTCCCCGCTACCTGCCCGTCGCTGCCTGCTCCCTGCCCGTCGGTACCTGCTCCCTGCCCGCTCCCTGCCCGTGCTCTGACACCTGCTGGCCACCAAAGGCACAAGCAGAGCCGCCCGTCTCGGCAGCCCGGGGACAGGGACCTCCGGGGCCCTGCCTGCTGCTGTGTGCCCAGCCGAGCAGGCAGGCAGGCATCTGGGCAGGGAGAAGAAGGTGGGACCCTTGGGCTGGAGCTGCGCTGGGAGAGGCACATGCAGGGGACAAGGCAGCCCGGGTGGGTCCCGCTAGGAAAGGGTGGCCCTGCCCTAGGGGCTGGTGGCAGGCAGTGTCCCCACCTGGGGGACAGGGCTTGGAGGGTCCTGGTGTTCGTGTGCCGGTGGGGTGCCTGCGGAGGGCAGAAGGGCTGGCAGCGAGGGCAGGAGGCGTGCCCACAGCAGGGTGCTGGCGTGGGAGTGGCAAGGGGACACCCGGACTGATGGGGCTGCAAGGGGGGCATCAGGGACTCCCTGCCTGCCTCCAGCCCTGAACCCCCTTACTGCCCTTCTCCGCAGGGTTCCATGGGGCTGGGGACCTTGGGAGCTGCTTGTGCCATGTGCCAAGTGGCACCACGGTGGTGTTGGACTGGAACAAAAGTCACTCCCCTCCCTCCTCCTCCGCTCACCTGGCAACTGTTTGTCCAACACCTTCCTGGCTTATCTCCCCACACCCAGGGAGCCGTGAGACGAGGGCAGAGGTGCTCCCCCACCCCATGCGGGGCAAAGGACTGCCTGGCACTGCCCTTCCCGGGGCCTGGACCCTGCTAAGTGCAAGTGGGTTTCCCCAAGAGTAGCAGCACCCACCTCCCTGGAACGGGAGCAGGTACAGGGGGACAGGGTAAGGACTCAAGTATTTTGGGGGCAGCTCCCTGCAGAAGTAGTGCTGAGGCATTTCTGAGCCCGGGGGTGTAGCCAGCATTGGGTTTTATAGCCCTGGTTCACGCTCACTGGGACTGTGTCTCATGACCCACAACATCCCGTGGTGGGGAGTTCCAGCGCTGAGCTAGGCATCATGCAAAAATGTCGTGTCCCCCCCGCCAGTGTCTGATTTTTAGGCTGCTGCCCAGTAGTTTCATTTCATGCTTCCCAGGACTGGCTTCATGCGTGACCATGAATGCTCTGTCCTTTGCTCTGATTTTATAGCACTCTCCAGGACCCCCCAGCATCTCCTGTCCTGGCTGCACAGTCCTAATCCATTCACCTGGTTTTTGTGTAGAATCTCCCGTATTGCTTTTCCTACACCTTTTCTAGCTCTCCTCCATCCCTTTTGCAGCAGGGGAAGGGACCACGAGTGCGGGCTGTACTTTCGCAAGGCAAGTGCGCAGGGGCTTGGTCCCTCCGTGAGATGCAGCTGTGGCTGGGCAAGTGGGCAGCACAGGGCGAGACTGGGAGGGCTGCAGTGCAGGCATCTGGGGCTGGCGTCTCTCTGCTTGCTGGGTAGGACCGTGGCAGGAGGGGATGAGGCAGGGTGGCTGCCTTGCTTATGTGACCTCTGTGGCCACCAGATCTGGGGCTTTTGGGATCTGCTACAGCTCCTCAGCACTGGCTTTTCATTCCTTGTGGTGGGGAGAGGTGGAGGGGAGCTTCGCCTCACATCCCTTCTGCTCCAGCACAACAGAGCTCTGGGGTGGGTTTGGTATTTCCCACATGAGCAGAGGCTGGATGCAGCTATGAGGCTGCACAGTGCTGTGTCCTCGTGCCTCAGGATTTGAGGAGTGATACCAAGCACAGCTGTGCTGAGAACTGGGCAGGTTGTTTCATTTGTGCCCACAGGCAGTGCTGGAGACCCTGGGAGATCCTTCCAGCCACGAGGCAGCAGGGTCTCAGCTCCCACATTCTCCTCCTGTCAACTGGAAGCCCCTGGGGCAATGGTGGTGCATGAGAGGGGTCCTGGGAGCAGAGAGGGTATTTCACCCTGACCAAGGCTCTGCTGCCCAACAGGGTCTTCAATGAGCTGGGAAGTGGGGGAGAGACGGAGGGTACCCTGTTGGAGTGCACACCCTTGGGAGATGCTATGTCAAACAAGGGAGTATTGGGCACTGCAGGGAATCTGGAGTACATGGGACAAACAAGGTGCTTCATATTCTCAGATCTTTCTCTGCTGGACCAGCCCCCAAAAGGTCTGGGGACACAGGCCAGCTTCGTGGAATCATGGTGGGATACAACCTGCAAACCAGGCAGCTAACCCTCTCTCCAAAAAGCTTTTACTGACTCTGCCCCTCTGCCCTGCAGCGCTGCAAGGACCGCTTGAATTCCCTGGCCATCTCCGTCATGAACCAGTGGCCGGGGGTGAAGCTGAGGGTGACGGAGGGCTGGGATGAAGATGGGCACCACTCGGAGGAGTCGCTGCATTACGAGGGCCGAGCCGTGGACATCACGACCTCAGACCGGGACCGCAACAAGTATGGCATGCTGGCTCGCCTGGCCGTGGAGGCTGGCTTTGACTGGGTCTACTATGAGTCCAAGGCGCACATCCACTGCTCCGTCAAATCAGGTAAGGCTGGGAGGGGGGCAGTGAGCAGGACCAGTGGCCACCCCCCTGTTGCAGCGTGCCCGGGGAGCCTGGCTGGCTGGGTGGGGTGCTCCCAGGGGTTGCTGGCTCTTGCAGCCTGATTTCCCTATCTGGGGCAGACAGTCGGATGGGGAGTGAGTCACACACCTGTGGCCAGCAGTGCCATGGGGCAAATTCCCCATCTAGCTCCCACTGACTTGCAGCCTCACCCATCCTCTCTACTCCCCTCCTTTTTCCACCCCGCATCCCTTTCTCCCCCA